AATTTTAATATCTAAACAATAAATTTTAATAGACTCGAATTTTTTTTAAAATTTACTAATTTGTAAATAACAAATTAGTATTTACTAACAAATTATTTACTAAAATTGTTATTTACGATTTTTTTTAAAATTTTAACAACTCAAATTTTAATAAAATTTTATATAGAAAAATTACTTGAGGTTATGTAGAGGTATTTTTGGTATTCTAGATGAATTTTTTTTTGTTAGAAATGGTAGTTTAATGATAGCGGGTGTTAGTGATGTTTAAATTAAACTATAAGGAGCGTCATTGAAGATTTATAAACTAGAGGGGGTGTCCTTGAAGATATAGTAAACTAGAGGGGGTGTGGTTGAAATATTTCCTATAATTTTTATAGTTTAAGTTCCAATTTTTTATTGATCATTTATTACTTGTGTCTCATTCTGGTCGATCTTTACATATTTTAGGATTAATTACAATTAACCTAAAAAATTATAAATAACTCTAAAAATTATAAATAATAATTAAATATCATAAATAATTTTAAAAATTAAGAGTATTAATTGAAACGAGTTACTCAAATTCAATTTAGNACTCTAAAAATTATAAATAATAATTAAATATCATAAATAATTTTAAAAATTAAGAGTATTAATTGAAACGAGTTACTCAAATTCAACTTAAACTCGACTTAAATAACACTCGGCTTGAACTAAATTTGTATTCTAAACAAATTGAGGATAAAGAAAGCCTAAAAAATTCGATTAAAACTCACAAAACTCGACTTATTTATATAAAAAATAACTGAATTACTTGAATTAGAGTTTGGCCCGGGCTCAAATTCAACTTATTTTTTAAATAAATCAAATTTAAATAATTTTTTTAAATTTATTTAAAAAAATATTAGAACTCAAACGTACAAAAGTCGGCTCGATTTAACCCCTAACTTAAAACTTATAATTCAATCTAAAAAATTAAAAATGGTTCTTTAAAATTTTAAAAATAAACCACAAAACATGGCTGCGACAAGACACTTCGCACGAAGACACAGGAGAGAGAGAGAGAGAGAGAGAGAGAGAGAGAGAGAGAGCCAGAGCCTTTTAGCAGTGGCAGGGAAACTGGGACAGTACTCTCCAACGCGAAGATAGAGACAGAGACACAGAGAAAGAGAGGGAGAACACACAAAAAGGGGGTCTCATCCCAAATTCATCAAACCCTTTGACTTCCCCAGTTCTCTCATCACTCTATTGATCGTGAGTTCTCTTTTTATACTTTAGTGTATAAGCAAATATTCTGTCATCTGGGTTGGTCAAACAATCTGTTTTTCTTGGTTTTTTTTTATTGATATCTTTATATTTCCTCTAAGCGTTTTAGTCATGTTCACCGATTTGGGTAATATAATTCCATCTGCATGGTGAGTTTCATTGGTAATCCATGCAAGAATTGGGCTGCATTGTCCTAAATTAACTCGTCTAGTTACAAGGATTGTTCTTTCATCTTCTTGGCATTACATCAGATTGTTTGTATCTTAAACTTTTAAGCTCGTTCATGTTGATTTTAGTCCGACTGTGTTTTAAGGGATAGTTCATGGGTTGGTCTATTAGCAGTAATGGAGGTCTTGAAGACTATCGCATTTGTATCTTGCTATCTTTACAATTTTCCCTTTTTTTTCCCGTAAAATCTTATCGCTTTTAGGCATTGTTTCTCTTATTTTCAAATTCCATATTGTTGAGCTTCAAGTTTATATCTTATCCTTTTTGTTGGGATTTAACACGATTTAAATCCACTAACAAACACACACAATCGAAGAACAAGAATATAAAGCAATAAAAAACAAGAAAGAACAAGACACAGATTTTACGTGGTGCGGCAATTTGCCTACGTCCACGAAGCTGCAGGGATTTCACTATTGAGAGAGTTGAATACAGAGAGCGGCTGTACAATCCACGATTAACCCTAATCACCAAAACAACAGGGTTTATATGTCCTACGCACTGGGCTGTATAACGGGCCAAAAAATTTTTCCTCGGGGGAGGCTTGTCCATAAGCGCTACGGCTTGGGCCTATCGGCCCAAGCCTTCACTCCATGGACTAAGCCTTAGAAAATTTTCCATTAAAAAACCACACAACATTACTTCGGGTCGGGTCATCATCCATAAAAAAAAACCAACACTTTTGTTATCCCTCTCCATTATGATTAATATGTTTTTTTTTTAATATATATGTGTGTGTCTAGAGGTTTGCAGCAGGGCAAGTTTTAGCTTAGGAGAAGAAGAGATGGTTAGCAGCGACAAAGCATGTGCAGAATGCGCACAGAATTGTCTGTTGATTCATGGAAAGAAGAAAGATCCATCATCTGTGGTTTCCTCTTTTTTTAAAGTCATGATTGGACATAACTTTTCACAAATACTGGTATAGTTGCATTTTCCTTTTTCTTATATTTTAGTTTAATTTCCTACTTCTCTCTCTCTCTCTATATATGCACACACATACGATAAATCTGTGTATATGTTATATATCTTTATTCTATTGATATCATATGTTGAATATATGAATGCTATAGATTTGTTATATTTTTCCCATATGTGATCAGGATTTGCCCTTCCCCACTATTGGCATTTTCAGAGGGCTTTACTTACCCCCCCCCAAAAAAAAAAAAAGAGAGAAAGCATATATATGTTCACTTTGGTGATTCATGTATCTCATGTTTCTTCTTATTGCATAATTTATGCATGAAGTCATTCAGTATTGAGCTTGTCTTAGTCTTGCTTAGAAGATGTCTATGGGGTGATTTATTGTTATTACTGGAGTAGAGCCAGAGTCCATTTACAGTGGGGCAAACGACTGAAGAACAATCATCAAAATTTATAGTGTCTTACAATCATGAGTGTTTTACCAATTAAACTCTTTATAAAGTGGTAATTTTTTGCTTGTTGCTTTTAAAGTTTTTCACGCATAAATTATATGTAAAAATATAGAACCTAATTAAGAAAATTTATATGAAAGTTATTTTATTGAAAGTACTGGTATTAGAATAATTTCATAGAGAATGTTATTTTGACAAATTATTTTGTAAACAAACTATAAATATGCATGTTAACCATTAGACTTCGAGTGATCCGATTCCAAGTTCGATTTGAGAATTCCATTTTGAATCTGATCTGATTACTCAATGGATTTTGTCTCTACAATCTATATCCATTAAATATTAAAAATTTGATTGAAAAGTTTATATACATGTGTATGCATGTGTCTTTATAAATCAAACTGATTCGCAACCATGTCAATTTTTGGTATATTCAAATTTAAATTCTTGAAATATAATACCATATTCGAACTTATATAATCGATTAAACATATCAATCCATATCTAGATAATTGAATTTAGAGAAGGATGAGTTTGGTAACTTTATATGTCGTTGTTGGAAGGAGAGAAATAGCTAGAAAATACAAAAAGAATTGTGAGATTAAGCGTTATGAACTTCAAAAAATTTCAGTGGGGGCAAGTATTGAAATTTTTTAATTTTCTTGTAATTTTAAACTAGCCCAAAAAGTTTTCAAAATTTCAATGGGCGCAACTGCCCCCACCCACCCTCCGCCCCTGGTTATTACTGAATGATAGGTCTTTCTTTATTGAGCCTTGCATTTCTTGAGTTTGTGTGTGCATGTGTGTGTCTGCTGAATTGTTTCCGGACTTATCATTACCAACTAGGTATTCTATGCCAAGTAAGTGCCTAGCCCGACTTCTCCGCTACGATCTTCCCAGTAGTTCATATAGGAGTTATAGCGGTTTCATTCCTATTCATGGTTATGATGTTCCATATTCAAATACTGTAGATTCACGTGGTATTATAATCGTTATTTTTTGACTTCTTTTTCGGGATTTCTCTTTGAACATTTCGGGGGATTGTATGCCGGATGATGGCTCCACGGACCCCCGAGGGGGCTTCGGCATTGTTATAAATGCCAGGTTTGAATTGAGTTTAAATCCTCAACCAGCTGTGCAGATTTGCTTATATGAGCTGTCTTGGATTGGTTTGAGTGTCAATTCAATTGAACAATTTTGGTGCAGTATATCATATGCTTGGAAAATATATTGGCATCTGCATGGCATCCAGTTTCAATACATTGTAACCAACTAGTTTAGCTTGTTAATGTTGCATTATATTGTTGTGCCAATAGGTATTTTATTGAATGGAGCTAGCCACTAAAGGACATCATGTTATGAGTAAAATACAGGCAGATTAATCAATACAGTCCATTATTGGTGGGATTAGGATATGCCCAATAACAGACCCTCATTATCTATCACTTGTAAGATATGTCCAATAAATAGACCCTCATTCTAGAAAATGAGTTATGTGTTAAGCAAATATCAAAATTTCATTTCGTTTCAAACAAAATGTTCAGCACATTCGGTGGAAATGGAAACACATCACTCATAGAAAATCAAAATTCTCATGTTTCAAAATGTTTTGGATGCTTCAAAACATTTTGGAATAAATATATGTACATTCACATTAGTCTGTTTTGAAAGTTGTTTTCGACCTTAAATATATGTACATTCACATAGTCTACTTGTTTTACTAGTTGTTTTTGACCTTAAATATATGCATATTCAAACGTAAGTTTGATCGTTGGACTTAAAAACCTGAAAAGGGAAATGCATGAGGAAAATTGGAGACAGAGATGCAGTTGCCAGCTAGCTTGGAGCCTTGAACTCTGTCCTTTTCTCACCTCTCTCCCCCCTCTCTCTCTCTCTCTCTCACACACACACACACACACACACACACTCTTTTTCTTTCATAAATGGGCTGGTACATTGAGATGTTCTTTATCAAACTCACGGATCCCTGACTCATCTCTGCTAATTGGGTTTGCTAAAATTGGACTTATCTTTCCTCCTGCGCAAAGATGATGTCTCTGGAGAGTAGGGAAAGATGAGGGCCGCTTGCTTCGTTATCTATCTATGGTTTGGTGCATGTTTAAAAACCTTCCTCCCAATAGTGGGTGCTGCAGTATGGAATTGAACCTTGCAGCTGCCTCTGTGAAGGGTTCAAAGGTAGGTACCGGCAGCAACACTGAATCTTTCTGCACTGTTAGATTTGAAGATGGATGACAAACATTGGACTTCATATAGCAGTACAAATTGGTGTATCAAAAGTATCACATCATTCTAAACTCGCGCGTGTGTGTAATTAGAATCCTACTTGAAATAAACACACGACTTTCCAGTGTTCAGGAACATGACCTATTGTTCAAAGTGTTATGTATGACATCAAAAGCGAATTGGGTCCAATTCCTTTTTGTCCTTTTCGTCCTTTTCTGATGGACAGAATTTTCAGTACAATTCTCATTAGCAGTGATAAAAAGGGAAAGAAGTGTTTTATGTCTAAGTTCTCTGGCATGAGATTTGCATTAAAAATCATATTTTCCACACTTAGTTTTTTGCCATCTCATTCTGAAATTGAATATCTCAAAAAAATTCTGGTTGAATTCTATCGTTTGTGTGTTAAACGGGTACATTACAGCTGTATCTATAGAATTTGTTTCGTTTCAATAACTTAGAGTTGTTTAAGTTTTGATTCAACAATTGTTTTTCCTCTTTTTAGCATTATCGCGAGCTGGACAGCTTCAAGTGGATTGTATTTTTTGTTTTAACGGCCTAGTTTTTGTGTTTTTCATGACCTTGTACTTACACGTTATTGAGATGGACGACTTGTTCACCTTTGATTGGTTTTTGTAGCACTTTTTCCCTTTAATTAATAAAATTGCTATTTCTTAAAAAAAAGTAAAAATCAACAGTTGTTTCATTCCATACTACATGTGTGCTAGTGTTGGATGTGATTCATTTGTATATGGTTTTACATGCATCCTTTTGTGAGTTCTGCTTAGTGCCTTCAAATTATTATGAATTGTTGCAATATGAGCTGTTCCTTTTGTCCGAATTTTTGAAATTGAACTTGATGTATTTGTATCTATTAAACGCTAAAATTCTGTCTAAAACTTAGTTTGAATCACAGTCTAGCTACATAATTGAAATGCTCCTTTAGAATATTTTGCTGTGGCTATCCTCATTAGCTCTAGACTTTTGATAGTGGAGTTTCGCAGTTGAACATGACATGGGATGGCTGTGCATACTTCAAACTTCAAACTTTGGAAAGTTATAGGATTTGATGAATATGATAGCTAGGCATACTTGCTACCAGTACATACACCATAGTTCATGAAAACTTAGCATATTAATGGATGCTGTAATGCTCTTCGGTTGCTGAACTCATTTGCTACAGCAAGAGATTTGCAGGTTGTTTATTTCTGTTTATGCTCAGGTTTGATGCTTAATAATAGGGATCAAAATCCGTATCGATGTATTAACTTCAGCTTATGGAGATTTCAAAAATTGGTCTGCTGCTGTGAAGAGCTGTTTCACCATTTTGTCTAGCTTTTGATAAGCATGAAATATATGTGTCACACTCTGCAGTAGTTTCACACGCGTAATTGGATCTCATCTGATATGATCATTATTGAAAGCTTTTTGAGTCTTTATTAGTTGTAGTCTTTTTTGTGACGTTAGGATGGCTCATTGGATTCCATTTTCCATAATTGATTAGCAGTTGTTTCTAAAGTAAATTTGACTACCCCAAAGAACTGAATTGTATGGAATGAATGGGCATTTGGTATCTCTAGTTGCAATTTGCAAGCATATTATCACATATACCCTTCCATGAAGTTTTGGCTGAGATAATAAATATCAAGGGTTTTTCTAAATGAGGTTAACAAAGCTGGTGTTTCAATTTTCCTTGGTACAAGAATGGATTTTCATCATTATGTACTCCCATTCCTTAGATCTTGGTATTTATGTTGAGTCCATCGTGCGGTAAACATATATTTGCTTGAATGGGGTTTTCTCTAGTGGCCAAATTTCAAAAAACTCATGATTATCTGCATGTGCCTGAACTGAAAACTTTGTACACGCTTTAAGAAATGCAACTTGAAAGGAATTCTGGAACAAAACCTCTGATTGTCCCCCTTTTGGATCATGGTATTTTTAGCTAAAATCATGTTGTAATGGTGGAATACATACCAGCTTGGGAAGTTGACATACTCTCTCTTCAAACTACACTCCATCTTTCATCAAAAAAAAGAAAAAACTGCACTCCATGTTTTCTAAGTTGTGCTATTCCTTTGCAGTACTTGCCTCCTAAATTTGCACGAACTATGTCATCCTTGGTTGATCGTAAAACTCTTCTTGAGGATTCAAGTGGACAGCGGTGGAAGGTGACTTTATCCAATCATGAAGGGTCACTTGCTTTTCAAGAGGGATGGCATTCATTTTGCCACGACCATGGTCTGGAAGTGGGAGATTTCTTGGCATTCTATTACATTAGGGGATCCCACTTCATTGTTCATATATGGGGAACAAGTGGCTGTGAAAAATTGAACAATTATGGAGAACACGGCCATCGAAAGAAGAAAATCAAGACTAAAAGAAATTCAGCTGCTCAAGACGGACAGTGCCACATGACTGATAAAAATTTGACGAACAAACAGGGTTCTAGTACTTCAGTTGAAATGGGGTCAAACACTGAAACAAGACAAGGGCAACCAATTGCCATTGATAATACTTCAAACTTTAATAGTGGTAATGAAAGGCTTCAACTTGTTTCCACCACCGAATACCGTGAAGAACCATTTTATATGATAAATAGAGATGTTGGATGCCACCAAGAAGAAGACAGGACATGCTTATATGACTTGTCCAAATTTGAAATGCAGAGGAGCAGATCGGTTGCTGATGGAACCAACAAAGTTCCAGGAGGAGATGAAACATGCCCTCACCATGCGGACACAATGCTGAAATCTCAGACTGATGCAGGGTTAGTCGATGAGGATTTAGGAGATATCAGAATAACTAGTCAGGTAGCACCTCCAGATGCAGCTGATGGCACAGTGATTGAGAAAACTAACGATCCTGGATTGTCAGACTTCTCTAGCCGTTCTGTCTCCATTTCAATTCTCAAGAGTCACTCTGGTTTGAGTCACTCTACTTGGAGCTGTCTTGTATTTTCATAGAAGCTTCATTTCCTTGTTGATTTATGTACGTGGTTTTATCAATAATTGATCCATGTTGGCTAATGCTGTGCTGAATAGGTGAGATGAGGAAAGAGATTCAGCCAGAGCAAGTCAAGAAGCTTGAAGAATTTGGTGGTTGTGGCAGATTTTTGCACAGTATAATTTATTTCCACTTATCTTTCATCTTTTGAAGCTGTACATCAAGTTACTGCCTGTTTACATATGCCAATAACCATGTACAGATACACCTTGCAGTGCACAACCATGTATTCCGTCTTAATTTAAAGTATGAGCTTATGCAGGTCAGGTGTGTGGTCAGAGTTCCAGTTCAGCTTTAAAAGATAATGACAAAGTTGATGCATCGGTGAAGACTGAGCCTGTTGATTCATTTGATTTATCCTTACCAGATGATGACGATACCTCTTGTTTGGCGGTAATGAACAGTGAAGATGTTGTGGTATGCTACTCATTAACTCATTCTCCTTTACTGTTCGTCACAATTGAAGTCATCATGATTGTTTTGTTTAAATGTCATTGCTGAAATTGAACAGGTTTTACCACACAAATTTTTCATCAGCAGGTCCTCTTGGAGTTTTTTGGATTTCTGCTGTACTTTTGACTGTGTTTGTTGTATTCATTCATTTTTTTTGCTCTCATCTTATGTTGTTAAACATAGAAAATGGGCGGCCTTCTGTCTCTTAACTTTTTTTTGAGGTAGGCAGTGAGTCATGATCATGTTGATACAACCAATTAACATGAAAAGGATAAAGAAGACAAGTGGGAATTGGGTCACTCACATATCTTGTTCAAATTGTGGTCTGACTTTGTAGAATGATTCCATTTTTGGTTGATAGTGAAAGATCTTTATTAAAATATGCGCATGCTCATGTTTCTGGTTACAGATGTTTACATGCAAGTATGCATGCTACATCTGGTGAACCAAATTCTAATGGAGCCACTCTGTATATTTCTAGCTTTAAAAGACAATAATGTGCCTACATTAGTGTATATCACACAAGATAGTGAAATATAGGGTTCGTGGTGGCCTTGTGCACGGGTTATGACACTTCTTTTGAGAGAGATGTATGCTTTGTCATCTCAATCACAAATTCATCTTTACTTTCTTTTTTTTTCCGGGGGAAACTTCATTTTACCCTCTTGTGGGTTGCCCATTGTGCACATTGCCCCCCCCCCTCACATTTGAAAGTATTCACATAACCCTCATGAGCTTTGTGGACCAAAGTGCACAGTTACACTTTTCATCTATTTTAACGGTCTGTGTAAGTCAAATGCAACATATGAGAGTTGTTATGAAAAATATACTTTGAAAAGGCAAAAATACCCTCGCCCTTAGTCTCACTTTGCTTTCTCTCTCCCTATCTTTCACAGTCATCTCTTTAACTGTCACCGCCAACATTTTCTTATGCCGCTGTTGACAGTCACCACCAACCATCTTCTCTTCTTCTCATTCCTCAATCTATCCGCCAAGGACAATCACCACCAACAGAAAACCCCTAATCTTCCATCAAATAAGCCTAAAGCGTGCACAGCAAATCCATAAAATCAAACAAAGCAATTAACTTCTCTCTCCATATACATGTACACATATATATAAATGAACACAGGCACACATTGGAAAGACTTGAGAAATGTATCCTCTTCATTCTCAACCTGTTCACACGTTTTAGATTCTTGGACCTCCATTCTCTTTTACTTGAGAAGTGCATCATCTTCAAATAAACTCAGCAACACACAATCCCAGTTTTGTTGATTTTGGCCCATAACAGTCGCACAGATATGTTTGGTTGTTTGGATTTTACTTGCTTGAGTTTTATATTTTGAATTTTGTTTGTTTGATTGGATTTTGGTCTTGTTTGGTGCACAGACTATTTGATCGGATTTGTTGTTTGTTTGATTGGATTTTTCGACTGGGTGTTGCCAGAGAAGGAAAATGGGGTGGGCCCTGTCAGAGAAGAAGTAGAGAAAGAGGGGTGTTAATGTCATTTCAATCCTTCCGTTAACGTTGTTAGGGGTGCACTTTGACATGGGGGTTATGTGCTTATTTCCAAATGTGAGGGGACCAATGCACGTAATGGACAAACCATGAGGGGGTTAAATGAAGTTTGCCCTTTTTTTTTTGTGGTAGTATTCTTATGATTGCCCAATGTTCGAACTAAAGTTTATAAATGCCTATGTAATCATTTATCGCTGGGAGAAGGTTTTGATGGTTTCCTGTCATGTTTCCTTACGTCAATGAAGTATCACTCTTCTTGGGCTAGTTTTGAACAAATTACAGTAATGTATCTCTAGTTCTCTACTTTAAGTGGATGATCATTGTTCATTGGGCAAACCATAGGCTGATTTGGCATTAAATGCAAGCCAAACACTTTCTTTGGGAGACAATTTTAACCTTTTTCCGAGTCTTGCCCTCTGAAGAATTGGAAATTTGGACTTGACTGAGACAAGATGAACTGATGTTGGATTGCCATGATCATCTAACCATGTTAATTTCTTTTTGAATCTCTATTCTGTATGTACCTCTGTTTGGGATTTTTTCCTTTCTTTTTTGACTGTTCTTTGATATCCATGCATTATGTTTTAATGGTTGTGTAGGAGTTGCCATCACAATTGCCTTCAATATCATTTAGGAGGATGAAACATGAAAGCAGGGTAGTATTCCTCCGAGATCCAGATAGAAGACTTTGGCCAGTCCTGTACTGTCAAAAATATGGTCTAAAAATTTTGACAAGTGGATGGAAAGCATTTAGCAAGGCAAACAACATTCAGCCAGGAGATGAATGCGTTTTTGTACTTGAAAGTAAACCTGAGTGCATTTATAAGGTTGATATTGTTCGAAAGTAAGTCGGGCACCAAACTTTTCTATTTCATATTGTCATTTCCTCCGCAACTCATCAGTATGTTACACAGTTATAATCGAAATGTAAGGCAAGGAGCTAGACACACACTTTATGTTACGAGTTTTTGACAAAGGTTCAGTGCTTCTGTCATTATATTAGTATCCTACTTGAAACAATAGATCCTTTGTATAGATTGCTGATGGGGATATCTAATGTTTTGGTAACCTGCTATGTTAATGCACAGTAAGAACTGTTCATTACTCATTCAAAAATGTTGCTCATGAAATTATTTAGCATTGCCTCTCCTTTGAACATCTTGGTGAACAGCCTGCGTGGGTAGCCCCTTCGACTTACTGGTTTCTCTTGGGTTTAAGCAATAGATATGCTTAGCGGGTGATTGCAGATTTATGTGGTTTACTCTGTAGGTGTGTGTCCAATGTGGCTTGATCTTGGACAAGTTGCTTGCTCGTCATCAGAAAATACACACACCCACACACATTCTGGTGAACCGATATGTGTGAAACTGCAAAAGCCAAAGGATGGTGAACCAGGCGGCAGCTGCATCGCATGATTCCAAATTTAGGCTCAGCAACATCAGGTTTAATGGTCTGCTACAGCGTTTTATATCCATTTATTGCAGGCTTTCCCTGGATATTACTTTGATGGATCAGGATTCTTAGATGCATGCCTATCTATGCTGTTTTAGTACCTTTAACCTTGTACAGTTCCATCTGAGGCTTCAGTGTAATTTTTTAAAAAAAGTAGCAACATGTTTCATTGTTATTTTAGAAAAGTGATACACAGGTCGTAGTATATAATATCTTTTTCTTTTTTCTTTTCCTGTTCAACTATCTGGGATCTGTTCTATTATTGCCAATAAATTAGTGTCATTTTCTTTCTAACAAATGAGGCAAAATGCATTTAATGCACCCAGTTAATGCATCAGAATCATCATAGAATCATTATGTTCTGAACACGTTGTTAGGTCAGGCCCCTCGATGAATCGAATTTTGATCCGAATTTGACCCAAATATAATTTGCCGGATATGGATTAATATTTTATATTGATTTTCCGAATTCAAACCCAAATTAGATATATTATATTTAGGGTTTTTTTTAGATGAGTACAATTTTTTGGACTTATTTGAGCAAAAGTGTATGAATAAGTTATTTATTCTATTAAGTATAATTTTTATAAAATTTTTTGTGTTTAGGTATAAAATTCAAAATGAATTAAAATCTTTTTTACCTAAATTTATGTAGTCATCATTGATAGTTATTTGAGAAAATAAATATATAAAGATTAACAATAATAATGAGAGGTAAAATAAGAGTTTACAGAGAGCGAGAGATAGTAAAAACAGAGGTATTTTGTGCAACAAGATGAATATATATGTATATATGTTGTCCCATTTCACCAATCTTGTTTCCACGTTATATGACCAAAAGGAATAAAATCTTTTAATATGATGATTGATCAAATTCTGAATTTTTCCCAAAAAAAAAAAAAGAGAATCGGTCAAGATGTTTTGTTAGATATTATGTATTGTTCGTTGTTGGGATGTAGGAAAAAAAGAACTTCTTTGTTTTTTTTAATGGGTGTAATTGTTTTTTAATGTGTGTAACTATTTTTTTAATCGGTGTAATTATTTTTTTTAATGGGTGTAACAATTACAGTCTCATGCAATTGTTAAAACATGATGGTGTAACGATACCACAATACTAAATGGTGCAACTATTTAGTTTATATAAACAACTGAATGACAAATTGAGTTAATATCATAGTTTTGTGTAACTATTTGGTTTATTAGAACATATGAATAATTGTTTGGTATATTATCTGACAATTGTAACTGATTGATGTAACTGATTAGTGTAATTGTATTATTGTAATATTAATATAAATAGAGTAAGAGAAAATAGAGAGAGAGAGAAATTGTTAGAAAAAATATGTCCCTATTTTACTTCTCATTACTTGATTGTAGCAAAAAAAAAAGAGGAAAGAATATAAAAGGGTTTCCATCCATATGCTGTTTACCGATGATAATAGTGGCATTTTAAAAAAAATATGCACTTTATCCCAAATAAGTTTTAGACTTGTACTTTTATCCAAATAAGTCTAAAAAATTGTACCGACTTCTAAATTCTCCTTATATTTAACAGATTCAAATTTAGATATGTTTATATTCCATTCAATTATGATTTGATTCGAATTATTTATATATTTTTATATAAATATTAAAAAAGTAAGTGATTATTTTAAAAAAAAATAGTTGAAATTTAGGTATAGTTTGTTAAAAATTAGTTAATTAAGTTATTTAGATCAGATCGGATTGCGGATTGTTAACGGATTCAGATATAAATTACGAAAGTAAAATTCATCGAATTACCAGATTGGATTTTTGAAATCTGATTCAAATTCGAATCGGTCAGAATTTAATCCAAACTAGATCCATTAACAAGCCAAATTGTTGTGACTTCAAGTTTGATACATATGATTGTGAACATGCTCAAATTCAGGTTTGGTAAAGGAAAGAAAGAAAAGGCCTCGGAGCACTGAGAAGTGCTCATCTATCATGTGATCGAGTTTTGACATTTGTATCTCGACTCTACAATAAGAGTAAGACTATTTCCAACTTATTTGTAGACCCTACTATAGTCGAACTCGTGCACTTGGTATGACCTTAACGACTTTTGCACAAAGAGAGATGAAATTAATACTCGATCCATTATCAAAAGATGCACAAACAGCCTTGAAAGGATGACCTCTCATGGTGGCTAGTGCATCTATTGCCATTGCATCTTAAAATGAGCTCTTTTAAACATAAACTAGTTCTACACTCACATAATAAACAGCATCTAACTCAAAGCACATTCAGATCATTTCAGCCATTGGATCAGCAGCAGCAGCTGAAGCAGACACTTGATTTTGTTCCCTGACCACCATTTTCTTCATCTTGATCAGCCACTTAATCCCAGCCACAATATAATCATACAATCCAAGCATAATGTATAGTCCAATCCCACCTATAATCCCATTGGATATGGAATAAGTGAGTGGCATTAACAGCATAGTAACAAAAGCAGGCACAGCCTCCTTAATATTGCTCCAATCTATGTCCTTAACCACCTTCATCATCAACACCCCTACCATCACTAGAGATGGACCAATAGCCCATGGTGGTACACTAGTCAATAGGGGTGTGAAAAATAATGATAAAAAGAAATATATTCCGATGATCACGGCCGTTAATCCCGTTCGACCCCCTTCTCGTATTCCGGCCGATGATTCAATATAGGTGGCAATCGGTGAAACTCCGAGAGCAGATCCCGCAACTGTAGAGCCTGCATCTACCATGTAGGCTAAGTACTCCCCCTCAAAATTTCCTTTGTCATCTACAAATCCTCCAGTTTCCGCCATGGTGTACAATGTGCCCGTGGTAGCTAACACATCAACATATAATAAAGTCACCAAGGCCACCCACACCTCACTCCTGTTGAAGTTATTGAAGCTAATTGCCCCAGCAGTGGACTTAATTTTGTGGAAATCTACCACCTTTTTAAAGTATTTGTAATTTGAGTCACCAAGTGGGGTGTTAGGAAAAATTGTCACAGATGTGCCTCTAATCCATGAAAGTAATGTTACAAACATTATACCATAGATCATGCTACCTTTAATCTCCTTCATTAACCCATAACACATAATTACGAACCCAATCGAGCCGAGCCAGAATGTAGGGCTTCGCATCGTTCCACCGGTGCACTCCCCGGTCACCGGATTTGTCCCGGTGCAAGCTGTGACTGTTACCAATGTGGCCGGATCAGGGCCCACTAGTCCCACACCTTGGTGGGCTTGTAGGCCCACAAAGGCAATGAAAAGCCCAATTCCTGCTGCACAAGCCAGCCGAACCGGGTGAGGTATGAGCCGAGCAAGCTTTGCACGAAGCCCAAAAACAGCTATTGCTAGAAAGGCACAGCCTTCAACTAAGACCACTGCCATGGCGGTCTGGTAGGACATGACCCCAGATCCATGAAAGCCCACTAGATTATAAGCCAAGTAAGCATTTGGGCCCATTCCTGGGGCTAGGCCCAAAGGAAGGTTGGCCAATAGGCCCATAGCAAATGACCCAATCATAGCAGACAAGGCAGTGGCCACAATAAGATCACTCTTGATTTTTGAGAGACAGTTTTGGTAACCAGCATTAGGTTGGAGCAAGCACTCTGGTCCAGCAGTTTGGTTCGCCGGTGCTGTGCAGTCCGAGACCGAGCATGTTGCACCGGAGTCGGCAAGGATGGTGGCGTTGACGGTGATGATGTATGCCATGGTGAGAAAAGTGGCGGTGCCGGCGCATAGTTCCCTAGTGAAACAGCTCTTCCTAGCTTCTAACTTGAAGTACTTGCCAACCTTGCTCTTTGAAACTGTTTCATTCAAGCCTCTCTCCATTTTTTTCCATGATTTGCCTAGATTTTTGCAGAACCCACTTCTCATTGTGGCACACAACTCTCCTCCCATCTCTCTCTCTCTCTCTCTCTCTCTCTCAATGTGTGTGTGAATGCTGCATATGCAGCTACACTAGCTTTTATAAGGGATATGAAAGCATTTATGAATGATTTTGTGTAAGATTTGATATTGGAGAATGTGTGAGGACTGACTAAAGGGTATATGGTATATATATTTTAGGTGTTAGCAAACAAAAAGCATTTCTTTTATGGCAACTGAGTTGTTTTTGGAGCTTGCGGGTATGATTATGGCACTTCTGGTTTCTATAACCAGCCACAGGAGCACCTTTTTAACTTTGTTTAATGTATAATTAAGTTCATTCATTCTAAATTAAGAATTGAATTTACTAATGAGTCATCATTATCTTACATAGCATCAAGGTGGTTTCATTATAATCTGAATGTTATGATCTGAGTTCAGAATTAGCCTCTTTATTCTTTGTCGAAGACATTAGATTGCGTGCATATAACCTGAAATTTGATGTTATACCTGAGGATCAGTGGTGGCCTAATGGCTCCGCAGCCCACCGTTAGATCTAATGGTCACGGTTTCGAACTTCACCGACCACCTCTCCTGTTAAAAAAAAAGAACAATGCTATAGTACCAAAAACTTTTACCAATTTTGTTGTACTAAATTAATGTATGTGGTTGAATTTGTGGATTGCACCAACTTTCATTAATCATCTAATGGATGTCAACATGCCATTCATTTGATACTTAGAATTTGAAAAAAGTTTTAGCATCCACAACATTATTTCATATGACATTCTATTAATTCTGTACTAACAGAATTCTCGTAGATTAGATTATTCTTTAAAGAATCTTTGCTAAGTTCAAAACCACTGATCAATAAAATAATGACCTGGTGCACATCATGTGATCATGTGTACTGAGCTTAGTGCACAGCTTTGTTAGACATTTAGATTGAGCATTTGACTATGAAAATGCACTATTAAGTTATTGAAACTGATTTGATATACAAGTTGAAAAGATTTCTGTGCACTTGACCTATTTGAACGGAGTCCATTAAGCAGTTGTCTAGGGTATTCGAAAAATAAAATTTTAGTACTGTACTGATATTTATTATTTTTGTGGGTAGTTTATCATTATTAAGGATATTTTTATCAATGTTGTGGTATCGAAAAAATTGGTAAAAATAATTACGACAATAGTGATAAAAATATTCACAAAAATGATAAAAACGCCTACAATTTTTTTTTTGTATCAAATAAAAGTGATAAAAATAGTTAATACACTAATAACAAAACACTTACAAAAATGATAAAAATATCCATAAAAGTAATCATTTTTTTGTACCGAATAAAAATAGTTATCACAATAATAATAAAAACACCCACAAAAATAATAAAATACCTAGTATACCAAAATTTTCTTGTCGGCAACATAGTCTTAAGGCCTAGTTGTAAAGTTCCTTCTTCACAAACTGATGGTGATTTCAGTCCCATCAGTTAAAGGGCTAAAATCGATTCTTTGTAATTATTCCATTCTTGACTTACTTCCATGTTGAAGCGTATAAGTTTTTTATGTTCCCTTGACTTATATCTTTCGTAAGTAGGATTAAGATCCTGTCTAATGCTGATCATTTCACATAGATTGGTGGGGGATTTGACTACGGTATTGAAATAATAATTTTGGTTTTTTGGTATCATTTTAAAAGATATTTTTTTAATTTTTGTGAGTCATTTTATAATATAAAAATTTATTACTTTTGTGGGTAATTTTTCTATTATTGTGAATATTTTCACCACATTTATGATAGCTGTTTTTACCTTTTTTTTTTTGGTAAAATTTTTTTAATTATATTTGTGGGTATTTTTATCGCATTTATGAATATTTTTATCACTGTTGATAACTATTTTTACCATTTTTTTGAGATACCACAATAGTGATAAAAAGACTTACAAATATNATTTATGAATATTTTTACCACTGTTGATAACTATTTTTATCATTTTTTTGGGATACTACAATAGTGATAAAAAGTCCTACAAATATAATAAAAATAACTATAAATATGATAAATAGTGGTCTGATACCAGAAAAAAATAATTTCAGTACGGTAGTCAAATTCTTGGTGGTGGAGATCTATTTGAATACAGTAAGTGCCGATTAGATTTATGGTAGGATATGTAGCATTAATACAATTGTGTCATAACAAATTGGCTTTATTAAGCTACCGTTTGGTAATTAATGTTTTTTAAAAGAACTTTTATCTAAAAAAATAAAAATAAAAAGAATGCTTAATGATTATTTTNGAAAATCCGATACTTAAGTGAATTTGAGTTCAATAGATGTATCATAACAAATTGGCTTTATTAAGCTATCGTTTGGTAATTAATGTTTTGTAAAAGAACTTTTATCTAAAAAAATAAAAATAAAAAGAATGCTTAATGATTATTTTGTGAAACTGATCAACTTACATCTTTATTATTTAACATGTGTGTATGTATATTACTACATATATGAGTATACTTGGATGATATAAGTAAAAAATAAAAATAAAAAGTACAAAACAAATGGCACTTAAAAAATTATTAAAAAAAACGATGATAGAAAGTGGCAGCTCTCCCTCTAGTGTGCCTAATATTACTTTCATTTTCTCTGTTTCTGTTTCGACAAGACAAAAGCCGAAGGTTGCTAACCCAATAGGGTGGCGGGTGAAACGAGGAGAGGGCTTGACAATTATACCACCACGATTAAAAAAGNGTACTTAAAAAATTATTAAAAAAAACGATGATAGAAAGTGGCAGCTCTCCCTCTAGTGTGCCTAATATTATTTTCATTTTCTCTGTTTCTGTTTCGACAAGACAAAAGCCGAAGGTTGCTAACCCAATAGGGTGGCGGGTGAAACGAGGAGAGGGCTTGACAATTATACCACCACGATTAAAAAAGCGTTTTTGCCTGATGATAAAAAATGTGAGTTAAGTTTTACAAACGTATGAAAAAAGAGGAATCTTAAAAAAAAATAGTTAAATTCAAAAAAAAAAAAGGAAGAGTTTAGTCCTAATGCCGAATATTCGACACACGAAGGAAATGCAATAAGAGAAGTATGGGGATTTTAGTATTTGACTTGGGGTCGGTATCNTCGCCAATTGATAAAAAATGTGAGTTAAGTTTTACAAACGTATGAAAAAAGAGGAATCTTAAAAAAAAATAGTTAAATTCAAAAAAAAAAAAGGAAGAGTTTAGTCCTAATGCCGAATATTCGACACACGAAGGAAATGCAATAAGAGAAGTATGGGGATTTTAGTATTTGACTTGGGGTCGGTATCACATCATTGATTGAGTTGAACCTTTGACAATTTTGTTGANGAAATGCAATAAGAGAAGTATGGGGATTTTAGTATTTGACTTGGGGTCGGTATCACATCATTGATTGAGTTGAACCTTTGACAATTTTGTTGATGAAGAATTGAGTATGATACCGATGGCTTTAAGTCCGCAGGTTCAATGAGATCCACCAAAGTTGTTTGAATGTTTTCCCACTCTGTTTTTCCCCCAAACCCACTAAGCATAAACTTCTCTTGCCACTGAAAATTCATGTTGACCATACAGATTGCTTCCACAATCTTTGAATAGCGATTACTCTAGGTAAATATTGATTTTTTTTTTTAAAAAAATTATTTTTTGTGGAGCATCTTTTTTATAATTTTGTTTATTTATTTTTATTTTTTATTTGGGTTTAAAGCATTTTTAATCCTTAAAATATGTATTTTTTTTGTTAATTTAACTATTATTTTATCAAATTTGTCAATTTAATTTTTAAAATATTTAATTCGTGTCACTTTGATCCCTACACTAAATTGCATATAGATCAATTTTGTAATATTTTTTAAAATTTTTAAGAAAAAATTCAACAAAAAACGTAAACAAATGATACATCAGATTTTAAAGAGTAGTTGAAAAAATGTAAACCTTTAAATTTTTGAATCATCCGAAGTGCCTAAAGCTCACTATTAGGATTGTTAAACAATTCGGGCGACTTGAATTTGCTCATATTATAAAATAAATTAAATTTAAATAATTTTTTAAACTCGTTTATAATACGAGCCGCGCAAAAACCAATGTCAATGCTCTTATGTTATGGGCCTTTCCTTCCCCTATGCAGTCTTTATTTCATCACCCCTCGACACAATCAAGAGAGTATAATGGAATACTTGTCATCCCACTTTGCAAGTATATTCCCACGTGAAAGTAACCCATGCATGAATTTGTTCTAAAACTTGCATTCTTTCTCAATTCTATTTGCTATCTAATTCTAATGTATTTTACTTTAATTTTTCTTAATATCGGATCACCTTTTTGGACCGGTCAAAACATGGGATTTAGACTCCTTTCTTTTAATGTTAGATCATTGGCCGTCTATCGATAAGAATTCACTCCTAAATAGTGGATTCCACCGAGTATATTTGAAAAAAAGCCATTGAACAAAATCAAATCCTGAGCAAGTGTATTAGAAATGAATATGGATTAATATTTCATAGAGAAGGGGAATAAAATTAAAGTAGAGGGAGCAAAGCGTGGCGTGGCCTGTAATTAGGTTGAGGGGCTCTCAGACCTTTATGGGGGACATACACCTATCTGATCAGAGATTCTTTAGAGGGTTAATTCTAATTCTAAAGTCATAAATGTATAAAATATATTTGTTTGATTGCATGCGCGAAGAGAGAGATTATATAACTTGAGCTTGCTTGTTTATTGCTGCCTAAAGTACCATCGAGTTCTCCTTTTGAGACATGGCAGAATACAGAAATATAAACAGCTGGGTAGGAAAGAATATTAGTGCTATCTCAATGCATTATTGAGAGAGAAAGAGACGAAAACAAAGTGGAAGAAAGGCCTACCAAGCAAGTAAATATTGAATACAACGGTGATGGTCAACATAACAATGTTGACGTGATATTATCAACTAATAATAAAATATCAAGTGGGTAATGTAAATCTCATTGGAACACCCCCCCTTCCCAAAAAAAAAAAGACCATCTTTGAGTTCCACTTCTCACTCATCATTTCACCCAAGATTAAGATTCACCCATTCAAGATTAAGGTCAAGAGCTTAGACATGTATGGCTTAGGCACACCCAGTTATCTTGTGGGTATTCTGTTGGATATTTTGTATTTCCACTCCCCCTCCATGGTTCCACCATTGACTTCCCAATGTGCAGACCCATTTGCATTAATAAACGTCACAAAATAACGATTCTGTCTCAAAATGATTCATCAATCCAACATGAAACTGGAATAAGTATAATTTGAACATACACCTATGAGACAGGAATTGGCTATTGATCATTATGAGACAGCAGCTAATTGTTTAGTCATCAAGGAGCATGAAAGCAAGTCTAAAAAGAAAGGGCGACAGTCAGGCATCTAAATTTTGTGATAACAACAAAGTAAACCAACTCAATTAACTAACATCTATTGATGAATTATATCAAAATCTCAAGCTACTTCGATGCTAATTGCTTGTTTTTCTTGTTACCTTTCGTTCTTGAACTACTAGTTTCAGGCCCTTCTGCCTCTTCCGCCTTCTGCTCTTCCTCTAAGATGGCCAACTGCAGTGTGCACACATTAAGCAAACAAGAAAATTTATTACATTGATTCTATGTCAGCAGGGATAACCCTTGAAATAGAAAGCCAAATGTTACCTCATCAAGAATTGGTTTGAGCTCATTGTACCGAGATACAGCAAGATCAAATCCATCCTTACGGAGCTCCTGTGAAGACAAGACAACAATATCATAAACAAATGGATAAGTTGACGAGTAAGTACTACATTGATCTACCCATTCAAGTGAGAAAGAGAGACCATTAAATAAATTAGAGTCGTAAACACGGATCCCCTTCCTTTTTCACAGTAATGAAGGCTACACTGGTTTATTATTTCTTTTAAATTCATCCCCGCATGTTTCCTTGATTCTTTTTTGATCCTGAAGGTTTTCTAAATGTATATCTTCCTTCTCTGAAGCCATTACTCTAACTACCTCATTTCTTATAGCAAAGGGAAGCTTCTAACGAATGTTTTGAAGAGATGAAAGGGAGATGGTGAAATCAACCTTACCTGATTGGATAATTCTAGGAGCAACACAAACAATTAGGAACCCTAAGTGGTAATCCAGGTCTGCCTTGCAGATCTCCCCCAGATAGTTGGATTATTATCCCTCAATGATGGCAGCAATTGGACTTCCTCCTTATCATCATTAAAAAAAAAAGCTTTTCCTTTCTACTTTTTCTCGAACAAGATCTTAATGACTGGAAGTGACAAGATGCACCTATTTCTCCCTGAGCCCTCCCCAAAAATTCAATATAACATGCGCCATTTACAATTAAGGCTAGACTAATGAAAATCCTGCAACAAAACTTGCAGGATCCTGCCCTTTGCCTGAATAGAAAAGATGAAATCATGATTCAGTCACACAGGTGGAGCATGAGGTTGAGACTGGCATTATGCATTGTATAAGGTTCAACTCAGCTTTGTTTGAATAAGTTGAAATTAAATCTAGACCTGGAAGATCAGCTGCAGGCTGAAAAATCCCCACGCAAATAAACAGGTTCAGCTAACTATGCTAACAAATGCTGTGTAGCTTCAGTCACTCTCATTGTTAACGGACCGAGTTCAGGTCAGGGTTCTGTACGTAAAAACCCACACTAACTAGCTTGTGAATTTTCATGCTATATTCTGCTAAAATGAAAGCTTTATTCATTAAGAGTGACCCAGAACTGAACTTTCTTGCAACATCTTTATATGAAATACCTTTCTAATTAACTCAAATTTTGCCTTGATATTACATGATTTTTAACCTACCATTCGCAAAAGCAAGATGCAGGCATCATGTTAAACAAACATTCCTAGAAAGCAAATCAAGAAGAATGGCAGCACTGATCCAGTCCATTATTGTAATTTTACCAACATACTTAGAAATACAAAAAGAAAGATAAGAAATGAAATACGAAAAACATACCTTTCCCGTGTGCTGAGTATGTTCATATGCTGCCATCTGCCAGTACATGCTCGTTCGTTTGTAGAAGTCCTTTAAAGATTCACCAGGCTTCGCCAAATAACATATGAACAATAAATCAGTTCCAAAAATGAAGCTGACAAAGAGAACATAAAATGGAGCTCAAACTAAAGCTAGGCNTTCACCAGGCTTCGCCAAATAACATATGAACAATAAATCAGTTCCAAAAATGAAGCTGACAAAGAGAACATAAAATGGAGCTCAAACTAAAGCTAGGCAAAAATATGGAAACTAGCTATCAAAAGCCTTGTGCAGTCAAGATGTATTCGCCCATGTAACCACAATTAACATTCAGGAATTTATAAATGAAGATTCCAATCAAAATCATGTCTACAAAGAATNGTCAAGATGTATTCGCCCATGTAACCACAATTAACATTCAGGAATTTATAAATGAAGATTCCAATCAAAATCATGTCTACAAAGAATAAGAGTACCATTGGTGTTCTCTGTGAATCAGAAAGGCCAAGACTGGCTCTGATTTGCTCAATCCTGGCCCGTTTCTCCTTCCTCCGAAGATTCTTTCGTTCACCCCTTATTATAGCAACAGCATCTCCCATTTCAAGTGATGTAGCACCAGCATTCTTGGTCTTCACACACAGACAAGTGGACACCAAAAAATCAACAAACAAATACAGAAGAGCAATGCTATTGGGACTTAATTTACTGACCTAATGCACTATAACCTTTGGATTGATTGTGGGCTCCATCAAACATTGGAACTTGGTATTAATTCAATGGTTTCAATAAAGTCACGTCATTAGGTCAGCAAATTATGTCAGATTTTTAGGTCTAAATAGCATTTCCAATAAAGAAACAAAGAGCTTATTGTGCTTATTTAATTTAGAGCAAATATATGAGCTTGTGTTCTTCTGTGTCTTTTCAGATGTATAATCAACAACAATAAGACTACCACAACTTCAGCATTAATTCTAGCCATGATTATGAGAAAATATTAATTCCTATGGCTGCTTCCCTCATTAATTAAGTCTGCTAAACAAAGAGCAATTTTCATATTAAAAAACATGGAAAAAGATTAATCCAGTAACAGCCATAAGTACATTTTCTATATTCAACCTGAACAAGGAAAGAAAGGCAAGTGCTAGAACAGGAGAAAGAAAGACGCTAAAACACATTCCAAATGAACAGTGGGAAAACTAAAATTTTGTGCAGTTCACAAGGGGTGAGATGTCTGGGATTAAATCTAACTGTTGACTAAGAGAGAGGGAAAGCGAGAGATTTTGTGCTTAGGATTTCACAAGGGATGAGATATGTAGGACTAAATTTAACTGTTGACCAAGAGAGGGGGAAACAGAAAATTGAAGTGAGCCAAAAAATATATGAACAATGCTTGACTTAGCAAAATTTTTACGAAATATGTTAAACCACCTCAATGTGAGTAATTAAATTACTGGGTCCCACTGACTTTCAGTAATCATCCAGTAACTATCAGTATGCCACATCATTTGGTATCCAACATTTTTTAAAAATTTTGGTGAGCGCACTATTATTCAAAATATATTCTCATTATAAGATGAGATTGAGAAAGGCACCTCCACAACATCATCATCATCATCATCATCATTGGTCTCATCGCTATCGCCTCCGCTATCACATTCTTCATCGTCACTATCACCTTCATCTTCATCCTCATCCTCGTCTTCATCCTCTGAGGCTTCAACCCATTCAGATTCAGATGCCTATGCCAAGGGAACACAAATTTATTGAAAGTGGGCAAAGAAACAACAATTTCCCATAATATCAAACCAATTGGACTTCCAATACCAGATAACTTAGTGCTGCAAAGATCTGCTTTAAATTATTTGAAATTTTTGTGTCATTTTTCATTAACCCTGTAATCAAAACATATGACCACTTCCTAAGTTCTTCACAAGCTCTATAAGGATTAACCTAATAAATAGGTTCTACTCCATTATTTTCATACTGGTACAAGATGCAACTATAAAAATGAGAGTCAGGTCCTGCAACTTCTAGTTAAATACATATGAGTTACTCCTATTGCATGCAACAATATGCTGAAGGTAAATTTAACAAAAAAATGTTAAATGTAAGCTGAGGTCTTATTTTTTGTGTGTGTGTGAGAGAGAGAGAGGCAGTCTGAACGTGTTGATTACATACAAAAAATTGGCTTCGGATCGCAAAAGTGGCTCCTCAAGTTCCATAAAAATGGTTGGTTTCTGAGAAAATGAACAACAGCAGATGATGAATGATCTAAGGGAACAAAATGTGAGGAAACCCCAACTAGACATGACCAGACCTACCCATTCCCCACCCCCATAAAAAACAAAAAAGAAAAAGACTAACACGCTATGAGATATTAGCAAATAAAAGTGACAAACCGGTATAATGCATTTCCATTCATCAAGTTTGCTCAGATTAAGTGAATATAAGTCATCCAGCGTTATTTCTCGATCTCTAACTTCCATCATGCCCCCATAGATGTATAATGTATCTCTAGCCGCAACCATACAGAAATTGGTACGTCCGCAAGGCTTCACAATCTGAAGGTCACACTAGAGTCAAAAGGAAACAATTGAAGGAAAACAAATGCAGAAGACAATAACTTCATCTGGCATAACGAACCTCTGGTGAAACAGAATTTTGCACCATAAATCTAGAGCTAGATTCATGATTTTTTCCATCAGATTTAACAGCCACCACATTTTTCCCTTCAGATTTAATAGTGACCTCATTGTCATCAACAGTCACATTCCTTTCCACCTGAAAAGAAATATCATTTATGTTGCTTTCCATGTCTACATCTTGATCCAAATCCAAAATTTCATCTTTGTCATTTGCTGCACAATTCTCTGGTTCAGCTCGACAAGTCTGACTGTCGGGGACAACACCATTAGTTTTTTCATCAGATTTCTTTTTCAACTGCAAAACAAGTACAAGTAGCAACCACATAGTATCAAAACAGTACAATTATAACATGCTCGTTTGAAGATATATAGCCAAAATGAGATAACAAATTTTAAATTTGAGGAAGTCAGGAAAACGCAATGATTGTGATGTTTTGAAAGAGAGAAAAAGAGAAATAATAAAACAAGAAATAGCAGCACAAAATGTTGAAAAAACACAACAAATATTAGCAACCAAAAATGAAAAAGGCGACAACAACACAATAATTATAGTAAGGAACATTTAACATTAGCCGAATATGCTAGAAATTTATTGGCGAGATATCTATGATAGGTATGCTATAAGTTCATTGATAAGAATACCTTATCTTTTGTTGATTTCTCTCTTCGTAGCTCAATTGGGTACCTGTATGCAAAAATTAAAATAATATATTCCCCAAGGGACTCAAACTTCATTATTATATACAATAGCAATCCCATAAAGGTGAAATAGATGTTATGGTATATGAGCAGGGAAGCTGCCATAATCAAATTCACCTCCAGAATTATAATGAATATAGAAATTGTAAATTACCATCGTTGGCTGTCTAATTGGAACCCATAAAGTTCATTCAAGAACAAGCTCACCATGACATCACCTACACAGAAAAGTCGGTCTAATTTTTAGTTGCATAAACAGCATAAAGCCAGTCTAAAGAACAAGCAAATAAAGCAATCTAATCAGATTTTAAAGAGCTCCGAAAGGCATAACTCAACTAGTCCCTATAGGTAACATTCCATTCAATCCAAGGTAATATTATTCAATATAGTAACATTAAAGGTTTTGCCTCACTTTCATGAACCACATCTGTTTTTGTCCTATATCAACCTTTCAGAAAGGTGCACCAAAAACATTTTACTTTCCTTGACAGACTATTGATTTATTAACGACTAAATGCATTTAAGGGAGTTCCATTCTCTCATCCCATCCCCTATTTGTGGTAGATATTCTGTCATCCTTCCAGTCATTATCTGATATCTGATGCCGACAAACATATGTCCAAGAATATCGCAGATTGTAACATTTTCTACTCTTCATACCATGGACATACAAAAGTTTCATGCCAAACTAAAGCACCTATTGGCGTTTGAAGATTTTTATGCCTCAAAATCTGCTACAACTACAATTTTGCACCTTCAAATCCATAACAAGCTGAAAATCAGTAAACACAAGCATTCATGTGAAAACAGGTACAAAAAAATACAACATGAGCATGTAACAATAAACTAACCTTGCACTTCCATATCCACAACGCCACCAAAGAGCAACGCCCTTTTTTTGTGGACACACATAGAGAAACCAGCACGAGGTCCAGGAGGCATACCACTTTTCTTCACCTATTACAGAGCAAAATATAAAAATGATTACTAATTCCAAGAACAAGATTTAGCACATAATCATTTCAGGATCTATCCTTCCATCTCGAAGAGCCAATACCTCTCAAGGATTCAATTTCCCCAAAAGTTTTAATGGCAACTAAACTTAATATTCAATTTGCCACCAAGGTAATTGTTAAAACTACACATGAAACATTTCTTTAGGATTCAACAGGAAAAACAGAAAGCTAAAGTAGCTGTATTCTTTTAACATAAAAAGAGAAATACAAAGTGCCGTACTTCATGCACAAGTCATCCCAGAGAAAATGAGCTGTTTATTTGACACAAAAAGAATAAAACAAGAAAAGGAGCTTTGCATCATACAAATATCATTCCAAAAGTTCAGTGAACTTGAGTTTAATAATTGTGTTATAATCTATGTAACTTTCTAAAAAATCGAATTAGGTGATGAATATTAAAAACAATTGTAACTAATAATTCAATTGTAGCAGTGTAGTTGGATCTTTAAAACAGGGATACAATCATAACAGAACCTTGGACTACCAAGGGAGTTCAGGTTTAAATTTGATTGAGATAATTTATGTTCTCTCCCAATGTCAGAGTACGTGTCAGAAAACATGAACATTAAAGAGCCATTTTGAATTTTCTTTAAAATCTTCCATGCGATCACATAAGCAAGACAAGAAATTATTTCAACCTTTGGTTGTGAGTTCTCACTATTTAAGGTGTAGTTTGGTGCTGTGGTTCAAGTGAAAATTTGCTATAGGAGTGTTTGACATCAAATCAACAAGTTTTGGGCAATACAGGTTTTGGTGCCACAGCACATACCATTACAGCTCAAAGTCTGATACAGTCATCAAGTTAAGTCTTCCAGCATATGCATTATCAGATTACTACCACCATTTATGAATGCTTAAGAAATCGCATCTGTGACTGCAATCTGATCTTTTGACAACCAACAAATTCTTCAAACAGTTCAACCAAGAAAAGTGCTTTCATAAAGGTACAACAATGCCAGAAAAGCACCAAGTCCATGATAAATAATTCATAAAATATCACCATATTGTTTATGCTTGTATATACACATTGTTATACTTCTTTAAGTCACATAATAATGAGTATGTCACACCAAATGACATAAGGCCAACACACACAATATACAACAATATCAAGCATGTAAAACAGTAAAAGAAGCATGAAAAAGAAAGAGGATAAAAAATGCCATCCCTTTCTTAAAAGGTTTCCATTAAACTAATATAGGGCACGTAAAAAGTATATCGAACCTTGTTCCACTCCCAAGTCCTAGGATCAAGGGACCATATGTCTGAATGAACGATTCCTTTTTCAGAGCTGCTCTTGTCAGACAAAACTTCTTTGGCATAGCCACCATACAAATATATCTACATTGTGAAAGATGACATTAAACCAAGAAAGATTGTTCCTCCAAAAGACAAATTAATTGGGACCCCCAAAAGTGTCATTCTGTTAGAGGACTGACATTCAAGTCATACATAGGTTGTGCCATAAATGAAACACTAAACAACCAAATAAAAACAGAAGCCAATGTAAGGAAAATGTGGACATGAAAAGGATATTCAATCACATGATTGTTATCAGATTTTCTTTCTCTTTCAGTATCTTTAATGATTACTTAATTAGAAACATCTATCTAAATTTACTGGATAAGAAGCATGACTAATCCAGTCATTTCATCATTCCGAACTTTAAAAAACAAATATATAGATTTTGATGAATCTAAAAGATGCCAAGAAACCTATATGAGAAGGATCTGCCATTGAATTCATGAAATTTTTTTATTTACATGGAAGCTTAAAGAGATTAGAATCGCTCTTATTTTGAGATCTGTCAAAAATTGTGTTCTATACTTCTCTTTGTTCTGCAAGTATATTGTTCGACTTGGTGGAACACGTATTAGATACAGTTTGAGCCATTTGCGGCTATAAAATCCAAACAATAGTTCTGGTTTGGAAATATTATCACCATAGTTTGAGCATGATATTGCTTCATTGTGATCTAGGCATCAGAGAGTCGAGTCACAGATATAGTCTCTTTACATGCATGGGTAAAGCTGTGTAATTCCCCAAACCCCGTGCAGTGGTGGGAGCTTCATGCACTGGGCTGCCCTTTTATAGTTTGAGCATGATATGGAACACGAATTTTCATATTGGCCTACTAAAACTCAGCCAGCATTATCAATATTCAACAAATTCTTTCCTTTATTATGTGCTCATAACAATTCTTTTAGTCATACTCTCAAATGTTCAAAAATCACTCCCAAGTCCCAAAACAAGTTCTTAGATAGTATACCAACGATATTAAATTGTTCACTTTGTTATTCAAGCGCAAACACTTTCTACAAAACAAAAGGCATATGCTTGTCAAAGTATAGGAACGATACTGACAACAGTATCGACACACATTAGTGGATCAATTTCGGTGCTGAGGCAAAAAGGGCAAAAGAGCAAAACTGAAGCCCACTTACCTACAACATGTTTCACTGCTGATAACAGAAGTGGAATATAAGCAATCATTGAAAGGTCCGAACTTCATTCATCTTCACCAAATTTCTCAAATTTTGCCTCAAAAGTTGCAACAAGAAGTAAACACTATTTAGACGGAACTACTGACTATTGCATCTTGTACTTACTTTCCAAATCGACGTTGGGACTTGAAAAATAGACATGATTCCAATACAACAAAACAGCTTATATGTGGCAACCCAATGAAATTGGAATTGCTAATTTACAGCCATTGGATGTGAATGTTGCTGGCAAAACCTAGGAAAACAAACAACCCCCAACCAAAAAAAAAAACAAAAGAAACAGAGAGAAAATCGATAAAGGAAAAAATTACAGCAGCAGGAGAGTTCAAAACGCGTGTTATTTAAGTACATTAATGAGCCACTCACCTCATCTTGGTAAACAAAAAACTGAAAACCACTCCGAGCACTCGGCCACATTGCTCCTGGTCTAGGTTTAATCTCTTGCCACTAAACCAAAGTTGCATTTATATTAGTAACAGCAATCTGAACCTCACTAAATAGAAACTTCATGATGATAGCAGAAATGAGCTGCCAGATATGTTCACCACTTCACCTTAAACTGATCCAGGTCAAACACATGCAGATCATTAAAATACCTGCACAAAGGGCAAACCTTTAGATGACAAAGAAAATAATTTTCATGATATCAACTAACTACCATCATATACTAACTGTCCCTTGGACTTTAAAACTTCATCCTATAGTATGATGATAAAACTGGACCATGTAGGGCAAATAGAGATGTCACAACTTCAGGCTCCGCATGAATGACCCGCTCATTGTTAACTGGTCTTATCCTTTCTTCCTAATAATATAGTCATTTCCCTTAAAATAGTAAAAAAGAAAAGAACAAATACTACATAGAGCTTATTGTCATTATAAAGTAAACAAACAACCCTGATGCATTGTGTTATGTTAAAGAAATTTGTTAATGGAAAAAAAAAGAAGGAAAAGAACACCAACGCGTTAAAAATATTCAAACCTCATCTTGGAAATTCCAACTGTTACAAACTAGATTAATGCATTTCCACACAATGTCAATGGACAGTTACATCTCTAACCAGGTCAGAAACTCTTGCCAGCTTCTCAAGGCACCCCTCACCAGCTAATCCTACCACAGAATTTGTATGGGAAAACTAAAAATTTGTGATGCTTATCCTTATTTATTCTCATGGGAATATCAACCTACTTAAGCAAGCCCTCTATATTAATATCTAGTGCCTTCCTCAACTAAAATTGCCTCCAAACACACATCATTTTGTAGTAATCATGTGCTAGTTAAATCTTTGAAAGATTTTTTTTAAAAAAAAGACAATTTACAATGCGATCATTAAGAGAGTAAACAAGTGCATCAATTACAAACCTTTCAGAAAAGCAAAGATACCATGATGCAACACTAACTAGGAAAAGTTGGTGATGTAGATCGTATTAGCTCTGATACCAAATTAATCTAGATCATAATAGCTTTGATACCAAATTGATCTAGATCGTAATAAGGAAGAATTAGAGATGAGAAAGGAAAAAGAAGGGAATGAGAAAAGAAGAAGAAGGAGATGCGGAGAGAGAGAGAATTTGAGGAAAAAAGATTCAATATCAATAATCAATAATAATCAAAGTCTAGTCTCACAACAAATATGTATCCCCTATATATATAAGGAGCTCACAAATCCTATATATATAAAGAGATCACAAATCCTAAAATAAATAAATAATCAAAAATGAAAACTAAATCCTTAAAAGTTAAAAAAAATTACTTAAAAAATAATTATTAAAAGTATCTAAATAACTATCATAATTAATTTATAATATCTATCCAATTCCTACACGAAACTCATCATTAAATGACAACTAAACCCTTAAAAGTTAAAAGAAATTACTTAAAAGATAAATATTAAAAGTATCTAAATAACTATCATACTTAATCTATAATATCTATCTAATTCCTATACGATACCCATCAGTTGGATAACAGAATTAAGTCACGGAGAAACATTCCAACACTTGCAAACAAGTAACTCAAAATTTTCAAAACCTTAAAATTAAATAACGAAGACACAAATAACCTCACTTCTCTAAGAGTGTCATAGAAGCCTCCAAAAACAATAATCTTGTGCTTATACAAAACCTGCAACACAAATGACAATTGAAGCAAGAAGATTTTTTCAAGGCACAAAATTCAATGAGAAAAAGAGAATCGAAAATTGAAAGATAATAAGATCACAAACTAAAACTGGTAGCACTCAAAACTTGACGAACCTCATAAGAGAGAGAATTTATATTTTTGGAATAACTCCAAAATGTGCAAAGCATAGTAGTGTACCTTGACTAGAAAGGGCAATAAACCCACAACTTCCATTCAAAGAGGAAAAAAACAAAGACAAGCCTAGTACTTGGCAGCAGACATAAAAATAATCATGTGGTTATAACATCCTAAAAACTGAAAACATCATTTAGACACAAAGAGAGAACAACCACAACCCAATGTGCATCCCCAATTTCCCCCCCTGAAATGTGACCCACTTTAATCACATTGATGGGAAAGCACCCAGCAGCATGACTACTGATTAATGTGCATTAATCAACCAAACCAAACATCAATGCAAACAAAGGCAGTAAAGCACAATGAAGAGACCATCCATCAATGCAAACAGAGGCAGCCTACATATTTTCCAATAATCTGGGAGGCGTACAGCTTCCAGTATTCAAAGATTGGAGGTTAAAAAGTGTCTAGCACCAATCAAAACTAGCTACATGCAAACATTTCTCGATTGGATTACGATCCTATGCCACATATGCAAGTGACATGCCCCCCCGAGTATTTGTCCACCCTGTAATTCACAATTATGCAATTTTCATATGGTAATCACATCCCTTATGTCTCCTATTCTGCAAACTCCTCTAGTCAATTAGAGGGAAAAAATGGCCCTTATGTCTCTTATTTCAATCAGATGCTACGAAGGAGAGACTTTACTTATAAGTTATAACATCCTTGTTCATTATTCAGATATTGTTGATGTACAGAGTGAGTGTCCAGTCTCTAGTCTAACCTACAACAAATGAGTCAACAAGAAAAAGCATTTAATAGATGAACTTTATAGCTATATTTGCAATCTAAATGCTTTCCCTTCCGAATTTTAAACTTTGAAAAGCTATAATCCTTACTAAAGAAAATGATAAACATATCCCTGAATTTTAAACTTCAAAAATCTATAAACCTTACTAAAACCCACATCATTACAAGAGCCCAAACTTACCATCCGATGGCCTGAGCGTGGACTAGGACAACCTTTATAGTTTAGTTGCTCCCATTGATTTGTTTTCAGGTCTAACGCCCAAAAGTCCTGTAAAAGAAATCTTAAAGAGTAACACATTTGAAAATGCAACTTCAAACAAGTCATGTTTTCTTATTAAAAGAAGAAGATGGAGAACATAGGCTCTACCTTGTAGTGATGGAATCTCTCTTGATTAGGAGAAGTAAACTCGCCACCTAGTAATGCATAAAAAGCAATCCTATCACCATGGACCTAATGCAGGTGAATCTCAAAATGCATTGCTTGTGCGTGCTCATATGTGTGAATAAAAGTGCATCATGGGGCATACAATAGTAAACATGTACTTGTTTGTTAGCATATCTGCGCACTTGTATCTAAGTTTCGCTAGTTTTACCAAAGATATAGATATAATTCTTCCAAGCAACAGCCTGATGAGCACTACGAGGCGGTGGGCTGGTAGGGCTCGAAATCAATTTCCACTCCTGCTTCTCCACGTCATATCGATAAAGATCACCATAAACAAATGTCTGCATTAATCCATACAACTCCATAAACTATCACACTTGAATTCCAAGCACAAATTTAGATATAAATATACATTCATAATTCATAAATTACACTGGACAATGTTACAAGACCTCACCTTATTGCCATTGTAGAATTCACCACCATACAATATTAATTCTGTCTCTTTCAGCGGATTAACATTCAACTACAGGATAATCAAACACAGTCATCAAATCGGTCTTCAGTTTACAAAACGAAAAATTCTCGACTATATGATAAATTACTATCAGCTGATTAAGATTCAACTACAGGGTAATCAGACAACCATGAAACTAATCTTCGACTAATACAACCAAAGAACTTCATTATATGATAAATTACTGAGTGAACTATGATCGTTACCGAACAATTGGATCGAGGAGATGGTGCAGGCACATTTTCTTCAATGTGGACTTCCTTCTTCTTCGCTTCCTCTTTCTGTATGCTCAACTGAAAACTCAAAAATCCCAAATCAAACTGTTTTTTTTTTCTTTCTTTTTTCCCCCTCAATTCTCGATGGTTCTGAGTTTCTTTTGAACAAAAACAGAATTTATACATTGAAAAAAAAAGCAAAATTCTTGAGGAAAAGAGAGAGTACCAGGATGGCGTCGATGTCGTCTTCGGGTGAGAGTTTCTTGGTTTCTCTGCGAGCTCTTTTTTCCTCTGCTTTCGCTGTTTTTTTCTCCGTTTTCTCTTTCCCTTTCCCTGGCTTCTTTGCTTTCTTCCCCATTTTCCACCTTCTTCCCCAACTCTGCTCGACTCACTCACTCCCAGACGGCTCAGAAATAATACAGAAGGGTAACTCAAATTTATAGTAAGTTCTCGTTCTTTACCCACAAAAAATTATCGTTTTACCACAAAAAAATTAATAGGGGTAATTGCAGTATTACGCCCTGAAAGATTTAAAAAAATTAAGGAAGAATTACATTTAGACCGTCTGAGATTTATCACCTAATCGCTTAGATCTCTTAATATTTAAAATATTACACAAAAATTCTCTAAAATTATACTTGATAAATTAAATTCAGACCCTTAAAAGTTTGTATACATATAATAGTTAAACACCTCAAATTTAAAATATTATATTTATATTAAAAATATTCCAATCTAGAATATTAAATATTTTAAATTTTATGATTAAACTTTATGATTTTATATCATTTATTGAAATAAAATTTAAAATCAAAATTTATTTTTTCTTAAAAGATAATAATTAATATAAAATTATACTATTTACAAAAAATTTATAACCATTCTTTTCCCACAAAAATATTATCGTTTTGCCACAAAGACATAATAGGGATAATTGCACTTTTGCACCCCTGAAAGATAAAAAAAATGGACTAATTTCATTTTGTACCCCCAAAAGATCATTCAATTTTTAATTTATACTCTTAAATATTAAAAATCTAGCAATGTGAACCTGATCCAAATCGCCATTTAATTTTTATAATAAATTAAAGTATGTGAGGTATAAGTAGTTCAGAAATTAGGATGAAATATGTCAATCACTGCAGATTTTTATCTATGATCAATTTGTCATCATTTTATGTATGAAAATAGGGTTTCATTAATTAAATAGGAATTAATCCTATCACGTGCAACTCACACAAGGTGCCAATGGTTTATAAATTTACGCATAAGCCCATGCCTAAAGTATTTGTTACTCATTTACTTCGATATATGACAAAAATTTGAATGACAATTTGAATCAAGTCCATATTGCTATCAATTCATAACATTGAGAAGTGTAAATTGAGATTTTTAATAGTTGAGGGTGCAAATTGAGAATCAAAGCATCATTTAAGGTGCAAAGTAAGATTAGCCCTAAAAAAATTAATATTTTATTTTATATATTAAAATTTTCATATTTTTTCCACAAAATATTATGATATGGCACTTTTGTTAGTATTCGTTGTTCATTCCATCAAAATTCATTTTTTTTGTTTTTGGCTTAACGATTAGTGGTGTCGGGGGACTAATACCCTTCTCGGTCCAATCAAAAGTAGGTCATCCACTTAGGAACATTGATAGAATGAGCAACGTAAAATATTATATAAGGAGACTCAAATTTTACATGAATTAAAGGAAGTGTCAAATCTTCACTTGAATTTTTAATAGTCATAATTTATTCTTTTTTAAATATTCAGCAGTAATATTTCAGTCCTATAAAATTAAATTTATTATTTTTAAAATCTAAGTTTGTTCATTTCAATGTTTTGTATTCAATCAAGTTTTTTACTTAAATTTGAGTAAAAATTTGAATTATTATTGGAAATAGGCTTACAAAGGGAATTAACCCTTCTCTAAAATAAGAATTTTTTTTAAAATTAGCTAATTAATCTTGAATTATATCTATAAAAATACTGATAAATAAAATCATAATTATGTCTTTTGTGTTATTAACAGGTAGTGGTCGTTGGAGTATTTTATAAAAAAGAAAATTATTACTATTTTTGATAAGCTATTTTATATTAATATAATTTCATATTTCATTTGACATTTATTTTAGCTAGACGGTATGGTTTCATAAATATATTTATTAGGCTGTTGTGTTACAAATCTTGAAATTACTATGCAGATAATGAGTGGACTTTAAATTCAATTTGGTGGTGTGATACTTATTAGGCCATATGCTATGCACTTATGGATATATTTATTATTGAGCTAATTTAATTGTGCATTTTTATTGGTCCATAAGTTGTGAAGACTAAAATAATTACGATTGGTATGATATATGTTAATGGACTAATTAAGTTGGGCTAGGAATTACGCCACGTGCGTTACACATGAATAATTTTTGTAAATAAAAAATAACAAAATATATTAGGTATATGTGTATTTGAACTAAATATCATCTTAAATTTATCAAATTTAATTTTTTATTGCTCATATACTATTTTAGGATTATAAAAATTTTATATGTTCCAAAAATTCTTTGTTCTAACTATAAGAAAAAAGATTAAAAAAATAGTTAAAATTCTGTTTTTTTGGAAATTTGTGATTGAAATTGATTTTTTAGTAATATTTTGAGAAATTAAATTTTTTGAAATTTATTTTATTAGGATTCTATTTATAATTCTTTTAATAAAATAAAAGGAATTGTCAATATCCTAATTATATGTGAACCTTACTGTAATGAGGAATTGATTAGGTGAATTAGGATAAGATTATTCTAAAAATCTAAAAAATTGAAGTTTTACTTAAAAATTCTAAAAAAAAATTAAAATTCTAAAAAACAATCAAGTTTTATTAAAATACATTACAATATCTATTTTCACATAAAATCTTAATACATCTTAGAGTTTAGTGTGACAAATAATTATACTAATATAACATAAATTAATTTAAAAAAACTATATATACGATTATTTATTATCTTAGAAATGAAATGATTAAATTTTTTGATGAAAAAGAAAATACAAAGATATAAGCATAATGTTATCTTTGCATATGAATAAGTAATATTAGATTGATGGAATTTTTGAAGGTTTTTTGAACATTTTATTAAAAATATAATAATGCATATTTTTAAGGGTAATATAGTCAATTAAATTTTTTTTTATAGAAATTGATATTTATACATAGAAAATAGATAATTAAAAGAGATGTTAGAGATAATTTGAAAAATCTATAAGGATATGATGATAATTTATATATTTAATTGTGATGATGGGGTGGTCTTTGTAATTCTTTATAAGGGCAAAATAAATTCAAAATTTTTCATATTAAGGTACTTTTATTAATAGTATATGTAGATATAAATATAGTTATATAGAGAAGTCCATCTAACCCATTGTTGGGGTATGAAAAGAATAAAATTTTCATTTTTTCTCTCTTTTATGTCTACTTAATTATACAACAGATAATTTATCCGTAAGGATGCAAGTTTTTTTAAAGAGATTTGAGACTTAGTTTGTGGTTGAACTTAAACTTAATTCTTTATCGGATATAAAATTTAATATCGTTTCAACATGATCAGTAATTGAGGTAAGTGCATAAGCTTCTCTCTTTCTACGTGTTACTTAATAACTTTCCTAAATATTATTTGAACCTAGTTCCAAAGTGGTGTTATTAATTGACCTCCATAAGTATGAAGTGTTATGTTTACGCGTATATATATGAATGAATCAACTATGTGTGAAATTACAAATAATAATGAGGGTGATGCCTTTAAAATTAAAATTATGACAACTGCGATGGATGTAGATGAAATTTTTAATCTTGATGATGATGGATTTAAATATGACCCCTACTAGAGCCCAAAACTCTCTTAGCTCATATAAGACGACCCAAGCATCTAGACAATATTCATTGGGTTAGAACTGGACCACGACCTAGTTCCATAGAGGCCCGATGCAAACGGCCCGGTATAGGGGGCCAGTTTGGAGTTAACAAGCTTGGTATAAGTATCAGCTCGGAGAATGGAAGCGCGACACCAGGCCAGTCTGCGAGAGCTACAACATGACGTGTGGACAGGGGGACAATGAGACATTACTTGACAATTTTGATGAATGAAATCCCACCGATAGTGGAGATGACTCATGCACTGCAGCTGATGAGTAGTGGGTGCAGAAAAACGTGAGGGACCACAACTTTGATAACAAGACAAGCACAAAGGGAACCACATAATCAGCTAAAATGGATCAACACAAAAACTCTAACAGCCAAATGCTTAAATAGCTAATGATACTACACAAAGAGTCATTCAGGGAATTACCCAACAGAAACCTAGGCAATATCCAGTAAAATGTTTCAAGCCAAACACATTGTAATCGTAGTCTTTTTTCCCAAGTAATACAATTCCCAAGGAGTAAGCGTCTTCATTACAGTGGACGTAACTTTAGTCTTTCGGTTAAGGCAAACCAATCATACTGTTGTTTTCATCTTGCATCATATACATATACACATATACTCCTACATACATATGCATTCATTGGCCCTCCCCTAGGTTAGTCTGTAGTCTAGTCCAATCGATTTCGAGCACCATTAAATCTTTAGTTATTAAAACGTATAAAAGGATAGCATTACGTTTGAGTATTCTTATGAGGAATATATATTATAAAGAAAAAAAATCCATTTGGTGACATTTGTAGGACTTATATATATTTAACTTTTAAGACAGGATATGAGTGTTGAGCTTCTTGGCAAAGCTTCTAACAAAGAAATTAGGTTGCTCACTTCATTGATTTGACTTTACTTTACTTAAAATTAAAGATAAGGACAGGGTAGGCAGTGAAGACTCATTTAGTAGACAATGATTTGACTTCAATTTACTTAAGATTAAAGATAGGGGCAAGGTGGGTAGTGAAGACTCATTTAGTAGACAACAAGCGAGCAGCAAGCTGCGACTTTGACAGCCAGCAAACAGCTACTCTTATCAAAATGAAAAACAGCAAGCATAACTTGAACATGCACGAACCTTTATTAGAGAAAGCCATTGCACGCTCAACAAAAAAAGATAGGTTACACGCATAAATTATAAATATTGATGATGCATAAAATTGCTTTGCACACCACCTGTCAAGTGATTGAAAATAAATACAGTAATTGAAAGTAAAGAGAGTTGGGGGAGACAATATTTATAGTGGTTCGGTCAACATGACCTACATCCACTCTTGAATGGCTTTGGTCGCCGGGTACTTTATTAGCTCAAGAGTGTGGGAAGCAGAGAGTACAAGTTTTGAGGGAGAGGAGAGAGTCGTGCTCGGGTAAAAGTGTCATGCCCCCCAAGTGTTGGTGGGACATGCAATTTATAGTGGTTTCTTAATAGA